TACCCCTTCGAAACCTGGGTTAAAATAAAAGAGCGCTAAACCGAAACAGAGCTAAACGAAATAGCGTTAAGCGGGGTATTACTGTAATGTCATCATAACATAAAATTGTTATGATCTTCTATATTAAAACGCTTTCAGGCCAAACTTTTCAATTTTCCGTAAATAATTAAAATTCCATCAAAGTCTCCATTGTTTACAAACAATATTCCTTTCCTATAGAACGCATTTCGATCATTCTCTCTATCGGCACGTGCAGTTCTTGCGCCTCGTCGGGCGCGTGCACCGCGCAAGTCCGTGCAACGTCGGCACGTGGCCCCGAGCGTCCTTGAGCCGATCGGGGTTGTTAGTAGGGACAAGGTCACGCACGTGGAGGGAAAAAGGACTTTTGTGGGAACTGGGGACGCTTGTAAAGGAAATGCACTGTTTTTGTAAAATGATAATTGTTTTTTGTAAATGAAATTTCATACTTTTGTAAATATCGGTCAACAGAGATAAAGGAACTTATAAGAAAAGAAATTTATAAGAAAAATAATACGAATCCAATATCTAGGTTTTCAATATTTTATTATTGTTAAATTACATCTAAGTATTATCTAACTAAATAAGAGTTTTGTTATATGTTTGAGTATATAAAAGAATTGTTACTACGGTAATGGCTTAGTAACCATGTTGCTCTTATAGAACATACTTGAAATTAATGACATTTTCCGATAAATTACGTTCTACACGTATTCTCTTTACAACACTGATATAATTCCTCAAGTATCAACATCGTGTTTATTAAATTCCCGCAGCGTAAGTTATTGTAATGGGCCGAAAATCGAAATTGAAAATTTTTACATGTCTCGACGTTTTGAAGGTTTCTGAACATTTTGGCATACCTCAGAAAAAATGGATGTATGTGTATGTACAAGATACAATTTTCCAGTCACGTTTTCGGGCGCACGGATCAACCGATTTGAATGGTTCAAAAAACATTCGATTCCTATTGATAGGGAGATATGCTGATTAGTTTTTGGCAAAGGCAGGTTCAGCAGTTACGGAGATGAAGAGCAAAGAGTGCAGAAAATAGAAATCGATTTTGAGAGAACCGAGCTTACGATTTGAATGATCTAAAAAACATTCAATTAGTAATGATTGGAAGAAGTGTTTGGCAAAGGCAAGCCCAGCCATTTCGAAGATACAAATGAGCAAAAAATGGCAGTTTTTGAGAGAACTAAGCGTCCGATTTAAATGATTCAATGAACTTTCTGCTTGTTTAATATATTAATTAGCCAAGAATCATTAAATTTGTGTTTTTTCACAAATAGTATTGGATTAATGCCATCTTCCTTTATATGACGACTACATAATTCTTCCTCAAATTTAAAATTATCCTTGTGCATAATAAAATTGTCTGCATATTGTTATTAAATAACTTTATTTTACAAACATTTTGAATATAATTAAATATGATCACGTTAATTCTCAACAAATCTGCTTCTACAAGAAATTATGTGATCACATTCAATATTTTAACTTCCCGTAGGGTTAATAGGGATTCAAAAAAATCGAAAATGAAAATTTTCATTTATCTTAACGTTTCAGAGGTTTCTGAACAATTTGGCATACCTTAGAAAATATGGATGTATGTGTGTGTGTGAGGATACAAATTTTCGTCGACTTTTTTGTTAACGAAAAAAAATCAGAATATAAAAAAATAAAAATTTTCAAAAAAGTCAATTTTTTTCAAAAAAGTCAATTTTTTTCAAAAAAGTCAATTTTTTTCAAAAATTTCAAAATTGCTCAAAAATCTATTTTTTTTGTAAATTTTGCAAAGTTTTTATCAATAATTTAGTTTTTGGTACGGGAAGTTACAGCTAATTTGCCTTAAGACACGATGCCATGCACAACTAGTTTTTTATTTATATTACACTAAAGATGAGACAATCCTTGTTTCGATGTAAATTTAATATTATTTGATAAATAGTACCAAAAATAGTATAGTGTATTCATATTTCCATGATAATATATTTAGAAATCTTATCTTCTAGAAATGCCAATTTACATCAAATTTATGTTAAAATGATGATTTTTGTTAAATTATGAGTGAGAAGATGTAATTTTGATTACCAAGATATGTCAGATTAAGATATTAAATAATGACAATTTAATTAATTAATTATTATAATACATTCAATCCATAAAATTTGAAAAAATAAGCATTATTCAAAAGTTTTATTTGATGGAGAAAATTTTAGTTTGTTGCTCTATTTTTCCCCATGTAAAAATATACAATTGGAGGGTGCAACAGGTTCAAGGATGTAAGGGGAGAACTGAGTCATATTTAACCCTCGAATGAGTGACTCATAAATGACCCTGATTTATTCAGAAGGGTGACCGACTTGCGTAATATTGCGAAATACATTATACAAAAAAGACCTTGAAATAATAACACAATTTGACCTGATACCTATTTTTTCAAAATTTTTGAAAATTATAAGAAAATTTTGTATTTTTAAGATTATCCTTTTCTGAACTTTTTCTTGTTGTCCATTCCAGGACAGGTGTGAAAATTAGTATATAATAAAAAAAATGAAAAAAAAAACATTAAAAAGCGAATTAAATTCAAAACTTCAGGTAGAAAGAAATTTCGACTAGAAAATAATTGTCAGGAAAAATGTATTTAAAATTCAATTTATAAAATTTTGTCTAATATTCGTAATTTTGAACAATTTGTTTTGAACATCATGTAGCAATTTTCCTGTCACTTCATTTTCCAAATCCAGGACAACCAGACTCAGTATCAATGTTTTTTTTTTTCATTAAAATCCAGTACCTACTATCTAAGTTATAAAATTACCAGCTAATCTCGGAATTTTAATAGTACATAAATTTTCATTTACCTACTGGTAGGTACCAAAGTAATACTCAGCAACAACTTGTGCTATAAAAAGAAGTCGTCAAGATGTAATATATTGCAAATAAATTACTTTCAACGATCACTATGACAAGACGTGTCTTTTATAAATTTAAATGGCATTTGAAAATTGTTATTATGATGTATAATGATCGTTTTAACTGTTTTTAGAGAACGTCTATACTTAAAATCTTCTTTGAAACCAGGAAAATATAATAATAAAGAATGGCGCGTGCTGGAGGTATTTAGAGGTGCAAATTTGTTGAAAACAAAAATAGACAAAGTATTTAATTGCATCTTATTTTGTACTAGAATCAAGTGTTGTAAAGCACTTCAAATTATTTTCAGCAACTTAAAGAAGAAGTATAACTCTTTGACATGACATACGATGGACCAGGTTGTGGACAAAGATATTGAACTAATTTAAAAATCGTAGAATTACCATACAGTTTTTTAGAGTACTTCAGAGTTTGCTGAAAAGTTTGGATGTTTTTACCATAAAAATCATTCCATGATTTTGCTTGCTTTGATCAAGAGCGACACTGATGATCTAGAATTGGCCAAAAGAATCAATTCATGGGTCAACATCTTGTCTCGTTTGATTTCTTCCGATCAAAGTGTCGAAAAGTTCAAAATGCATTTTTCTAAATGCGGAACAAGTTTCACAATGGATATTACAAAGTAATCAACCTGTAAAATCTCACAATTAACTGTTAAATGCAAAATAACTGTCTCTAATCAACATTAACCCGATGCGTCACTAATTCCGATCCCGGGAAGAACATCCAAAGAACAATACACGATCTCTATAGAAATTGATGTTTTGTTATTTGTATGGTGATCGGGTAGGTACTGTTACTTACTAATTACAGATCACATCACATTTGCTGTTTCTATTGGTAGTGAATAAGATATATTACATTTGTGATTGATGTCCGACAACTTTGATGATTCTGAAGACATTTTTAACTACATTCCATGGGAAAATAATCAACAACTGGTAATGGACTGTGAAATATTTATCTAATCCTTGATTGTGATAATTGAAACTGCAATAATTGGAATTGACACTCGGGAAATGATTTTTTTTACTATATGACAAGGAACCATGGAAGCAGAAGATTGAGAAGTAAAACGATAATAATAAAATTAAATATCAGTTATAATATTTATTCATAATTGGCAATTGATAATTTTGGCACATTAAGCAATTTCTACGCATGTGTGTTCCGTACTACTTTTATATAGATTTCAAAATGTGGAAAAAGTACCAGGTAAATGCACCAGATGGTTACATTTAGGGCCAACGAAAGAATGTTGACAAAAAGGCTAACTTTGATCTTGTGATAAATTTTCTTGATGTGTATGATATATTTTGAGTGCTAATAGTGTGGATGCAATCAAAATGTAAACTTACTTGATTTTGGTGGTGAGATTTGCAAAAATGTGAGTTAATTGCGGGAGAACAAATGTGCAAAAATTTTCAAACAGGTTCAGAATATTGTAAGCAAATATTACTGAATATAAAATAAGTTATACCAATTTTCAAAAATTGATAAAAAGGATTTTCTTTAATTTTTTGGAAGAATGATCAAACCAGCATGGTAGAAACTTATCCTACACAAGTTCCTAAAGTGTTGTATTTTTCTTTATGGCAACAATTAATATTATTAATTCTATCAAATTTAAACAAGTATAATTCCTATAACTAGATTATTACAATTTATTTAACATTTACACATATAAATAAACGGCATTTCCTCATAAAATCAAGTCCTCCTGAAACATACCATTCCGCACACGCAACTTTCATATGAGTCATTCTTGTAATGGGTTCTTTACTAAACCCATTTACTTATCGATTAGGTAACCCACTGGGTAATTATACCCCATACTAGTATTTATTCCACCTTGCACATTCAACAGTTATTTATCACAACTGATAAACCAATCAGGAAGAAATCGGTGAAGAAAAAAAATAACGAGCAAAGTAAATTGGCATGGGGTTTAAATAATTTTTAAAATACTTGGCGATTTAATTAGTATAAACTAGATAGGTGATTTATTTGTTTTTACTGATTTATTTGTTTTTTTTTTTCAGTTGGTGAATGGAGATTTATTGCAAAATAGTACTACGAGACCAATTCTGAAGTTTATGGAAATTACATCGTCAGCAGGTAATGAATAATTTATTTATTAAATGTATACTGCAAAACATATTTCTTTTAAATCTTTCATCTGCAATTCTTCCATATTAAATATTTGAGGACCAATTACAAATTATTAAAAGTTTCTTGTACCCATTCTGCATTTTTTATCCAATTTTCTTTTACTAATCTAGCTTTATTTTCCTCTTGAGATTTTGCTTGGATATTCTCAAACTTGCCATGAAATAAATTGAATTTGTAATTTATATAAAAAACAGAAACTCGTTCAAAAATTAATGGCTAATGTGAGATCATCTTGTTCTCAAAACTCTTCGTTTCCAATTGGAATCTTATATGTATTCTCCATCGGTTTTATCTCCTCTATTCTAATTGACTTTTATCTCGGAATTCTTATGATCAAAAATGTTTATTGCCAGTAATTTATTACATCTTGAAAGTATAATAAAAATACATTAGTAAAAATAAATTATATGGGAAAGCAATATATTTGGTGAAATACTTTTGATAGAAAACTAAAAAATAAATCAACTAGTGGTGTATGGTTGAAACAAAATAGAATGATTTTGATCTATTCACACCAAACTCTTTCGAAGGATTAAATTTCAATTCTCAAATGATGGACACTATTAGAAGTTGTAATACTGTCTTTGAATGATTTATATCTTGACGAAATAAGATTTATTATGAGATACTTGTATTAAAACACCAATATAGTAGTATGTTACTTCCACAGAAAAGATTTGTGCTTACACCTAAACTATTTAGCATATAGTATTAATTAAATTGTGATTTATATCGAACCAGAATCGATAGGTATTTTGTCAACAAGATTTTTTTCTCGTCACTCTGAATAACGGGAAAATATTAATATCGTAACGAAAACTGACAAATTTGAAATTTATGATAAATCGTAAGCGTTTAAATATAAAAATTTAAAAAACTAGTAATAATTACTAGCTTGCTAATACTACTATTTACATTTACTATTTACTGAGTAATTAGTCCTCTACAATTTTCCCATTTTTAATTAAAATTGAATTTCTGATTTTTTTTTTTAAATTTAAAAAATAGAACACAAAAGATTTAATACTCTTATTAATTTTTAGAATGTGCACTTTATAAACGCAAAAATTATAAAAATGTATAAAAAATTTAGTAAATAAATGAGTGAATTCTAATATATTATTAAACATTTTTGAAAATTAATCATTGTTTTTGCTAAAATAATTCTGATTTCTAAAATTATATTTAAAAAAACTAATATTTACTTCCTAAACTTTTCAACTTAGGGGGCGTCCATAAATCAAGTGAGGTTTTTAGGGGGCGGAGGGATTGACAAAAAATCACGAAATATCACGTTGGGGAGGGAGGGGTATAGTAAGATATCACGTGTATTTATTTTATACTTTTTTTTAAAATCCAAATGATTGCAAAAAATAAAAAAAATAAATTTTTTCTGGTATCTTAAAATGCACGTGATGTTTGGTGGGAGGGGAGCTAATTTTGAATATCACCACGTATCGCCAAGGGAGAGGGGGGGTCCAAAAATCCTTAAAAAAACGATCACGTGATTATTGGACGCCCCCTTATTGTAAAGATTTGCACGAAGTTTTTGCTTTTAGTATTTTTACATATATTTTTTATTGTTGTTAATAATTTATTATTAATTAATTATTATTAATTGAAGTTTAAATCGGATTAGCTGTTCTCTATATACTTGCATGCATATCTATGCAAACATGCATTTGTTCTAAGGATCCGACGTGTATAATTTCGTATATAATTTAAAAAATATAAATTTTTTAAGAATGTTCAAATACACGCCCCCTTCCCCTTGGTGATTCTTGGTGATATTCAAAATCACCCCCTGCCTCTTCAGACATCACGTGTATTTTAAGATCTGAGAAAAAAGTGTAAATTTCTTGATTTTCTTAAAAATGTTTGATTTTTTTTAATCAGGTAAAAAATAAATACACGTGATATCTTACTATACCCTTCCCTGCTCGACGTGATATTTCGTGATTTTTTGTCAACGTGAGATTTTTTTCTAATTTCTTTTGAACAGTTAACGTCAATTCCATAACGCCGGTTGAAGATAAGGTCTGGGACACCTTGTATATATATATATATATATATATATATATATATATAAGTTTTAAACTAAAAACTTTTAGAAAGCTATGAGCTAAAATTTAGCCACCACACAGGAATTACTCCCTTAGCAAAAAAAAAGGTCTTGAAAAAAATCCACCATAAATTTTAATCACATCATCGATTCCTTTTGATTTCACAAAGCATTAATTGCCAATTATAATTCCTTATCACAATGGGTAGATCAATTTACCTTTGCGGTACATAAGAGAGTCTTTGAAGTAAAACAAAAGTCACAATTCTGTTCCTCTCTTTGATCTCGGACCGGCTTCTTGGCTGTCATTCTCATCTGACTGGATTCCGATACCAAAGAGACGATAGTTTGGAATTTGTCTTTGGATTATAAAACTAATAGAATGCGTTGTTAGTTTGTTGGGAGTATCTTTCGGCATAAATAATAAGGATGGGACACAAGTTCCCAAATCATGGGTAAGGGGTAATGGATAGACCAAACCATTACCTAAAATTTATAGACACAAAGTTTTTTCTGGTTTTTAGAAATTTCTAGTATATATATTAGGGCGAGTCGATTTGTATGGGTAAAAAAATCGCATAGGCACATATGATTTTCGGATACTAGGGATCAAAATAAGATACTTTGCCGAAGAAACCATATCTCTGAAATGAATATGGTGAAGCTGGCTAAATTTTGATACATTTTCGTTTATCTAGCAATTTCGTAAGAATTATTGATTATAAATCTTCTGCCTTCTATTTTTAAATAGAATAGTTTTTTTTTTAATTTTTACTCGTTTTTGAGATAATGGTGGTGGACGATAATAGACGATTTACTCTACATATATTTGTATAATTGTGATCAATACCTATCTATAAATTATGTTAAGGCACTGACTGAAAGCAAATATCTTCGAACAACCATTTTTTATATTTCTCTCTTTGGATCCTATCTCAAAATCATTATAGTTTAGCTGTCACAACCAAAACCTGTCACAACCGCACCCAGTCTCTCCTACTCTCCAAAAAAAGCAATCTGTGATATTTAAAAGCTTGAAATCAACTCTTCCACTTAATTTATTTTGTACAGAACCATAAACTAGATATAAACCTTAAAGGACTCAAATTTCTCAATAAAATTCCTCTTTGAAATAGACTTTTAATTCCATGTTTTTAAAAAATGATTTATTTGTCTATGTATTTATATGAAACAGCTAACCCCTTTTGGATTGTTTAAAATGCAATAAAAAATTTACTGAATCAGAGTTATGTTAGATACTAGAAATGCCCAAAAATATGTAATTCAGTTTGGCATTCAAAGTACGCGGATTTTTATAGAAATTTACCTAATATGAATATAGAATTTTGTTGATTTTTGTACCTAAAAAATTCCTAAAACTCAAATTAATATCAAAATTCACATTAGAAGCTTATAAGAGTTTCTCGTCAAAATAAATAAAAATCATATTTATTTAATATTTGCAATACAATGGTCTTATAAATTTCTAATAATTTTGATTACTTTGAAATATCAAATGTTCAAAAAATGTGTGTAGTATTTTTAATTAAAAGAACCACATAATTCCATATGCATTATTGATTTATTTTTTTTCCATTACTATTGTTTCTTTAAAATCAGAATTGATTTATATCAGAAGTTGGCAACACATGACACAATGAGGTATCCCAGAAGTCACAGACTTTCTCTCCTGCATTTCTTGACGTCTTCTCCATCACATTTGATTTACAACGACTGACTGACTGACATTTGTAACGACCTGCAGCAGCCACTTCTGTTGGTTTTGTGTTACACGATACCACCAAATTAACACCAAAAATTTTGTCAATACCATATAAAATATTTTTACCGTATTTTTTCCTTAATTTCAACCGCATCGTTCCGATATGTTATGACCGCAAAAATGCGTAGTAATAAAATAAAAATATTGGGAATAGATCGATGTAGTAGTTGTAGGCTTGTAGATTGGATTTTTGTAATTTACATTGTAGATTAGTAAGTAGAAAAACTATTCAAAATCCATAAATTGGGTCTACGTTACGATTACGAAGCTTCAGGTTGAGCAGACTATAAGAAAACCGAAGCCATAAATTATATAATAAGTAATTATTATCAGAAAGAGGAGAAGAGAATGTTTTAAGCGTATTATGAGCATTAAAAACGTTAACATATCAGCTTGTCTAGAACTGCATATTATATTAATAGTTTATATAGAAATATGCCGGAGGGATTCTTCTGTGCACTCGGATAAATGTAATATTTTATCCACAGGAGCACTTGTACCAATTGCACTGTTTTGCTTTGTGTAGATCACTGAGAAGGAGTTTGTGGATATTTACTCAAAAGATATTAGCATCAAAAATCGAATAATATCAATATTATTATTATTATCAATATTAATTTGATTAGACCCTGATGAGAATTTTATTTACTGAAGCCCTAAGGCGAGAGAAGCACATTTTAGTTGCTCTATTTCAAAATTGTTTTCCATTATTAACTTCCCGTAGGGTATGTTATTGTAATCATTCAAAAATCGAAATTGAAAATTTTTACATTTCTTCACGTTTTAAAGGTTTCTGAACATTTGTGTGTGTGTGTGTATGGATAAAATTTTTTGCCCACGTTTTCGGGCGCACGGATTAACCGATTTTAATGGCTCGGTTCCTACTCAAATTAAAACATTCGATTCCTACTGATGAGTGTTGATTAGTTTTTGACAAAGGCAGGATCAGCCGTTTCGGAGATATGGAGCAAAGAGTGCAGAAAATAAAAATCGAGTTTTTGAGAGAATGGAGCATCCGATTTGAATGATCTAAAAAACTTTAAAGTCGTAATGACGGAGGAAAGTGGTGATTAGTTTTTGGTAAAGGCAGGTCCGGCCGTT